TGTCGGCATCGGCATCATTCACAAACAACCTAAAGCGAGAGAACTCCGTCGCTCCAGGGCTAGGGACCCGTATCGGATCCGTTTGCGATGCCCTGTCAGTGGGTAAACTATTCACTTTTGATTCAGGATACATTAGTATGCAAATACGTACTCGATCATGCGCTTCATAGCAGCAAACTGCTCAGCAACAGTAGCGTTGGGAGATGTAGATGCGAAGTGAACATGGAATTCCTGCTGCAGGAGTTTGCGTGGTAGGTTACCATGAGTTATGTACAGGTTCCAGTGTTTGTTCCAAGACTTGGAACGATTGGCTGAGACATCATCAGCCCACACGGTAATCCAGCTGGAGTACAAGGGTTCGCCTTGAGCGAGACGGCGGAGGGAGTTGGGCATTGCTGATAAATGATGCTTCGAGCGTTCTAAAAGGCATGCTTCAGTATCTGAAGAAAGCCATTGTAATTCCTAAGCATACCACAGCAGGGCGGAAGTTGTCTTCGCTCACATAGGTCAAAATAGTTGAGGAAGAGATCAGCAGCTTTGATGTTCACAAGCCGCTGGTCGTCGATCAAGTATGTTGCAGTCCCATCGTTGTTTGGTGTCACGGGCCATGCATCGGCCCATAGTTCTTTCCCATCACGAAGCTTCCAACGTCTCGGGATTACGAAGTTGCCACTGCGTACCATTGCTATCTCATTCACGTAGTAATAATTTCCGGAGTCATCCAAGTAATGCGGGCAGAGATGCTCTAGAGGCGTTTCCTTTAACAGCTTCTTGCCATGCCAAACTTCTGATATGGGCCCACTGGTTTCGTGGGGGTAATGAACCATGAGTGGCCGAGTCAATGGGTTAGAATAGTCCTACGTGCAATAGCCGTCAGACATTACACATGATCCTACTGGACCTTGTAGACGTACCTTCGCAATTATTGCGCCGATATCGTTCATATAGAAGTTGTTGCCAAGAGGTGATTGGCACTTGACAGTTTTGATACCAGATTCCTTGCGCAGTTTATCTTGAAGCTTTCGAAAGGCATCGAATGATGGAACCTGCGCTGCACCTGCTTCGCGCATAACCCATAGGAACACCTGCATGAGATTGTCAGATATGCGCAAGCGCGGGAGATTATCTAGCGTGTCAAGCAGGAAAGTCTACAGCCAGGAATGGGGCGTGAGCTATGTACATAGGCAGACACACTGGATGTCTAGCTACCGTCTTATTAGGATAAGGGAACCATTCTTCGGACGGGGTAGATGCTCCGTATCCAGTAAACCCGTGCTGTTTTGCATGACTCTCATCTTCATTAGGATCAGCAGTAAAGGCTGTCTCAGAGCGTGTCAATAGACAGCGCAAGCATCACACAATATAGTACCCACCCATTGTTTGCATATCTTGCATGACATTAGTAGAGAAGCTATCAATAAGCTCTTCGTCGCAGAATCCATCTCGTTGAGCACGTTCGCGGTCTGACTCGACGCCCAACGAAGCACCCATTCTTATGGCCGTTGAGAGCGTGAAGTCACGATACTCATCCTGAAGCCGATTGTACATCGCTCCCGTGGATATTCCGCCCATTTCAACGATGATATTATCTTGGTATAGCGAGTACGATGGTTTGGACGGCTTCTCGGAAGCCGTATTTGCTGCCCCACTGGGTCGGCACCATGCACGTAAGACGGCTTCTTCTGAAATATTGTCAGCAGCACGAGCACTTTGTTCTTCTTCTCGTTGCTCTGCGACTACTCTGTTCATATGCTTAACCGCATTCTGATGGGTGATATATGTTAGATGGGCCGTCAAAGCTGTCCGGCCCAGCGATCGAGAACTGCCAGTATACAAGTCGCAGGGCTTGCATCTATACCGGTCATCCGAAATCTCTTCAAAGCCTGAAAGATTCCAGTCAACCAGGACTGGACTTAAATTGGTGAGTACTTACAAGGATCAACGGATTTCTTGCTTCCGCGAGCGGGCATTTCGTTCAATATATCCTTCAGTTAATGGATCAAGTGCAATGCACCAGAGCAATTTGGCACGAATCTCAGTCTGAGGCAAACAAGTGCCACAGGCCGGGCCTCGTGTCAATCTGCAGAGCCACACAAAGCCACACGCATTATTTAAGCGAGACGCGTCTCGCGCGGCACTCTTCGCGCCACTCTCTTGACTTCACCCACCACTCTGCCTGCAGCTGAAGAAAATCAGTCTCATTTTCCGCTCTGTGCTCTTCGAAAAATCGTATTGCTTGCCTTTCGAAGTCACTATGGTCGATTTGAATCGCCTGTCGTCTGCGATGCAGGTCCCGCGTCGGCCGCAGTCTCCTGCCACACCAGCTCAGCGATCATCATCAGCACCACCGTCCCCAGAGAATCGAGGTACAAAGCGTACTTACAATGCATTTAGTGGACTTGATACGTTAGACGAAGAACAGGAAGAGCACCTGGGCGATTTGGCACATAATCCTTCAAATAGTTCACCCTTCCTATCTTCCACAGCCCTGGGTCGTTCACAAGGGATGAACTTGAAACTGTTCACCGAAGCGGAGTGCAAGAAACTCAAGCTGGATGCCGTTGGGACCGCCGAAGTCCTCGCATTCAATAAAGTGAGTCATGTGGCCTTTCGCAGTGGAATTACAGCACCGGAGCCACACGCACTAACACCCGACGTGAATGTCCTGGCAGTTAAGCATCGACAAACAGCTTACCAAGATCTATGCACGTCTGGTGCGTACAGATCAAACAACGCAGACAATCGATCAGCAGCGCATCCAGACGTGGGCTGGTCCGTCTGAAAACTTGAAGGCGAGTACTTGCTAATTCCTAGGATTGTGGATACACTTACCTGAAGCTGTCTGGTCTGTCGGCGGTCACGCAGACAAACCTCAAGAAATATGCGCATGCTATTCTCGTTGACCCGTCCCTGTACGGCTACCGCGAGAAACTGGCGAGCAAGTGTTTGTTGGTCAGTAACATCTTCCTGATTTGAATTACAAGATGGTATATCAAGTTTTGATGCAGGAGATCGTGAAGAAAGAACACTTCGACTTACCGGCCGGTATTGAGAAGAATCGGGCGCATTGGGAGGAAGTCGAGAAAGAAGTCAGTACTCACCTGACGCAACGCCGTCGTGCTATCAAAGATGAGGTGGGCTCTAGAACGACTGCGGTGGCATTCACCTTTTCATGGCTCTTGCTAGATCAAGAAGGCGGGCCCTGACTCCGGCGTTGACATCTACACCTTAGCTCGGAGGGTTGTGGGGGTGAGTGGATGTGTGACGACGCTGGAGCTCGTTGCACGTTGTGCTATCATGGTTAGTATAATTAATCATTCTCCTTCGCACGTTGTCACTTACACTACGATACTCTATTAATAGCGAGATGTCTACTGGACGGACGGAAAGACCGAGGGGAAGTTCTGGATGGAGGTCGATAAGGTGCTCGATGCGATCCGGACGAACGCGAAAGGGGATAAGATCGCTGCCTCGAAGTAAGCCGCCTGTCCCTGTAAGACTGACATCTTCTAATGAGATTTTAGTGGCTTGAAACTATTCATCGACGATGATATCAGCAAGTATGGCCGCGGAGATGGCGAAGAGCCAGACGCGAACGTTACCGTTCCTAACTGGGTGAAATCAGTGAACGACGTGGTGCGCGATGTCGGAAGGGCCCCTAGCAAGGATTGAGCATTATAGTGGCAAATGTCGATCTGACCTAATGCATGTATTGTGTTGCTCTAGTATTCTGGATGTATTCTCTGCATGGTTCCAATATATATTCTGTATGTTTCGTGTACACAATACAGAAAGCAGTAATCAAAACATGTTCAAGGCCGGAGGGAGCACAGATGAGAATGCCTACAATTGACAGCGGGCCACGATACAGGCCTACATCAGCTATCTCCGCTGACAGCCTCCAGAATCTACAACTGTGAGGCACAGGGAGCGGTACATGCAAGACACCTGCTGTGCGTGCATGCTGCAACCATTATTCAGGAAACGTGTGTCGCAGCTGCGACGACCCGGCCTACGCCGTGGCTTTTGCCGGTGGCTCACGCGCCGCGGCCACATGCGTAGCACCTGCGCTAGACTTGGTGGTGTACAGCTTCCTTATAGTTCCGAGGCTCCTCTCCAGAAAGAATGAAGGCATAGTCGCCCCAAAATTCCGCAAGAGTGCGCTGAACAAGAACCAAGGATGATGTCTCTGGAATGACTTCCTGAGAGTTGCTGACAGATGCATCCAAGGTAGATGGCGTGGCAGCAGGAACCTCTGAAGGCTCTCCCCTGAGCCCTGACTGTCCGCACTCGTTCCACCAGAAGCAGCAGTTTTCGCTAAGCGGGTAGAGCGGCGTGTAGGCTCACCTGGGGGTGGACGAGGACCAGGTTGACGACCACGCTTGCAAGAAGGTGCTGGTACTGGTGGTGGTGGTGCTGGAGGATCATGAGCAGGAGAAGGAGGCTGAGGAACAGGAGGTGTTGGTGGTGGCTCTTCATCATCAGGATGACGATCACCAGAAGATGTAGAAGGAACAGAGGATGAGTGAGAGGTTTGGGCGGATGGTTCAGAGTCGTCAGAGTCATCAGAGTCAGGTTGAAAAATCGAATCAAACTCCTTATACTCCCCCTCGGCCAAAGATCACTCCCAGCCATTAAGGTGTTCATCAAATCGAACGTGGATTGACAAAACAATCTTACGATGTCAGCAGAACTTGCGACGGATATAAATCTACCTAGAATTTACTAAGTGGAAAGCCCCAAGCTGGATTTAATGTTGGTCGAGCAGTTCCCTTGTGTTCGAGAGGTAGGATAAGTTTCCAATTAACACAGACCCTGATATTGTGGTGGTAATCTGATAGATACTAAATAGGTAGCTGACTACTAGAGTCTAGCTGAGAATGAAGGTAGAGAGCTAACACAGGTCAATGGAGTCTAATGACAGACTTCCAATAACCCAGTCTTATATTCCAAGACAGATTTGAGCTAACTGAAGCAGACAGCAGACAGTACTGCAGTCCTTCCCTACACTGAGGTGCTTCAGACAATCAGAGTCCAGACAATTCTTATCCCACAGTAGGGACAAGGTCTGATTGACTTGACAGGCAAATAGCTCTACTGGGGGATCCCAGATAGATTGATCCTATGGTTCCTCTCTCTACTGAGCTCTTTATATACCCTACAGTAATTTGAAATTACAAACAATAGGGTGGGAAGATACTTGGGAGGAGACAATAGTGTGAGAAAAGGTAAACAATAGTGTGAGAGAGTGGTATGAGTCATCCAACTCCAGCCAATCCCTGAAGCTTTGAGAACATGGGTGACTAAGCCAAAACAATAGGCATGGGAAAGTGGTAAACAATAAGGCGAGAAGAGCATGGACAAAAACAAAAGTGCATGTGAAATCAAGAGCAAGGGGTGGGAAAATCTTTAACAATAGCATGGGAAAAGCATAAACAGTAAGGTGAGAACGATCCTTGGCCAATCATGGAACACTTTCAGTCCTTCTAGAGCATTCTACACAGTTCCTCTCCCAATACTTGCCCTCATCCTTTCTCCCATTAACAGAAGGTGCTTGGCACGCTCAAAGGATATGTTGTATAGGTCTTTGTTTCCTACCCCCAACCAGTTGTTGAAGTCCGCATCTACCAGACCTTCCAAGACCGACCTGTATGTACAGGTCTCTTCGGCTTGATGCTGGTAGTAGTGGTACACTTCCAGCCTGGAGGGGGATGACATTCAGCATGTGGCAACAGTGCAGTTTGGCATTCGAACGATAACATTGTCTGACAACGAGTCTTCCTCTCATATAGACGATATGCCTTCTGGGTTGGTGAATAGCCAGTAAAGATGTACTCACGAGCACGAGCATCCAGCTTCTTGCGCTTAGGGTCATTGTCGTAAACCCAAGCCTTGCAACCAAAGCGGTGCATGAAGGAGAAGTCCGGCTTCTGGCTAGGGAACCGGACCTCGAAAGGACTCTTGCCATCAAGAGCGCTGGTAGGCATGTGATTGTGGGTGTAGACAACATAGGCAACAGCCTCAGCCCACATGGATAGAGGGAGAGCAGAATCAATAAGGATGGTGCGCACCAGATCAAAGATTGTACGGTTTTGATGTTCCGCGACACCATTCTGTTCTGGAGTATAGGGTGACGTCGTCTCGATATGGATCCCACGTTCAGCGCAATAAGCCTTCAACTGCTGAGAGATAAACTCCTTGCCGTTATCGCAGTGGATCATCACCAGCTTCTTCCCAGTCTCCTGCTCCACCTCCGCCAGCCAATGCTTGAAGCAATCGAAAACCTCTGACTTGCGCTTCAGGAAATAGACCCAAAGCCAACAAGATTTGTGGTCCGTAAAGGTAATCGCGTATCTGGAATGATCAAGCGAAAGGACCTGGGATGGCCCCCAAAGATCGGTATGGACCAAACCCAAAATATCAAGGCCCTCAATCTGACCACTATCTGATGGTGGAAAAGAGGCTCACGTCATCTTGCCCTTCATACAAGACATGCAGAGAGGTAGGTGAGCATTAAGCTCTGCCTTGGAGATCCTCAATGAAGGAAATCTCCCCATACGAACCAGCGCTTTCACCGTGTCCATCCCGACATGACCGAGACAACAGTGAAGCTGATGGAGTTTACTGGAGGACTTACTGGTGGAGAAAGACTTCTCTTTTGGAGGCTTGTCAAGGTGGTAGAGGTGGTCTCGACGCTTCGTACCAGTCCCAAAGACCTTCTCCTTTGACAGGACATCTCGAATAAGACGTCCACCGTCTTTCTTCTCGAATAGAATGCACCGGCCACCGCCAAAGAGCATATAATAGCCAGTGTCATCGAACCGAGAGACAGAGATGAGTGTCGGGGAGGAATTAGGGATGTAGATAGCGTCCTGAAGCTTCACCAGAGTCTCGCCACCCTTCGGATGTCTGGCGACGATGTGAGCTTCTCCTCGACCTTAAATCAACATAGTGCTGTTGCCGAAACCTGAGACAGTGCCAGAGTTTCTAGGTGAACAGGAAGCGAAGTCGGCGCAAATGGAATGAATATGGGAACTCATTCCAGAGTCTATGATGGTGCTTGGGCTCGTACACGTGCTCGAGATGTAGGTCGAGTCTCCTGAGCAAGAGGAAATGGTTGGAGGTGATGAGGAGGCTGAGGTGCTCACTGGTTCACTCAGAGAATAAGCAGAAACAACAGTAGCATAAGCTTTCTCCTCAACGACAAGATGAGATACATCATCAGAATCACTTTCCTCTCCATCTTCAGCAACATGGGCTTTGTCCTTGCCCCTCTTCTTCCATTGATGCTTCTTCTTCAGCCCCTGCCCCTCCTTCCCCCCTCCAGGAGACCAACAGTCCTTCATCTCATGCCCCTCCTGCTTACAGTTGTGACAGAACGCCTTGCCACAATGGCGAGCATCCCAAATCTTAGCAGCGAAAGCATTCTCACCTGACTGACCCTCGACAGAAGGCTCAGTACGGCGACGCTTCTCCTCCAAGATAGCATTGACGACGGTGGAGAGAGTGGTGGTCTTGTCGATCTTGATGCCGGCGACAAACTGGTTCCAGGAATCTGGGTTGCCAGGCTCAGATGGAAGAGTGGAAAGGAGAATGGTGGCAGTAACAAAAGCAGGGATGTTGAAGCCAGCGGTAGTGAGATGGCTGACAGCTTCTTGATAGGATGTAACGTGGGCAGCAGGGTCGCCATCCATGGGCATGGGCCAGACGAGTCGGCGGAACCACAAGATGAGTGATCCCGAGCCAGTCTGGCTGAACTCCGTGGAGAGGGCTGACCCACATAAGATGCGACATACCCAAGTTCGCAACCTTGGCAACAATGACATTGTCGATCGCATTCAAGAGCATCACCTGAGCAGCACTGTCCTTCGCATCCCAATCCTCCTGGCCAGCCTTATCTGTATCTGGGGGATGCACCGAAGTCCCCTGGACCACATCCAAAACCTGGGTGTACATAAACGTTGCAATCATCCTCTTGCTCCAGACAAAATAACTCCCTTAATTCATGAGACGCATGTCCTGAGTACTCGGGGGCAAAGTCCAGCACTGATGAGTCTCCGAGGGCATTGGAGTAGTTGAGCGAGATGAGTGGGTCGATGAAGTCGAGCCGGAATGAGGTCGAGGTGTGTTGGCAGGAGATGGTGGCAATGGTGTCTCCGATGGGCTAGTAGACATGCAACTACGACAGACTTGCCGTCGTAGGAGCTAGACCAAGTAGATAGAGCCGAAGAGAGCAAATACGAGGAAGCAGAGAATAATCTTCAGTCACTCTGGATTCTGAGTCAGAGCAGCCCTAAAGGGAGCCGCTTGGGCTCATAACCTAATAACAGACGCTCAGTCGGTGATAGAACGACTGTATTAGTGTGCTCTACCTAATAACAGACGCTGCAATACATGTCAGCTAAGTATAGTACATCTACAGAGAGAAACATACCTCAGTCGGTGATAGAACAACTGAGGAAAACAAGCGGCGGCGATGCGCACAAAAAGTCTGCGCGTCGCGGGCATTTCCGGAACGCGTCAGAACTAGGTATACTACAGGAATCCTACGCTACACTACGGGCGGTCCGAGTTGTAGGAAAAGGTAATGAACATTCAATATTAACACTATATATACTGCAGGAAAACCTATGTATTCCTTAGTTCAACCTCCTGTTGAATACAGTGATTACCTGGACTCTTGACTTGACCAATGGCATTGGCCCGGCCAGACTTACCTTTCAGTACGCTTGCTGAGGTAGTGACAACATAACTGTTGGCACATGGCCCAGTCATCTCAAGACGACTAGTTAGGACATCGCTTCCTAACAGGCCACAAAAGACATCAAATGGGAATACAAATATTCTTTGCCCCAACCATACACATCCCATACACCCACTCACTGCCACAGACGACCCTCAAGCATCCCTACCCATACTTCCAACCATCCTATGATCTTCACACATTGAACCCATGCCAAATGGTCTTGAAGGAGATGGCCATGAGATTGGAGATTGGACCACTGCAAGTTTGATTTGCAGACGTATCAGCCATGTGTACCCTTGGTCCGGCTGCAGAAATGCTGCTATTACGACTGTCAGCTTCTTGGTGATGAAGGAACTTACATCTGACTGAGGTGTTCAGGAGCAGACATAATTTGAATGTAGAGGGGAGGTGATGGTGTACTTGTAAATGAGGTCATGAAGCTTGCAGAACTAATGCAGGGCAGTGCAGCCTTCGAATTAAGTCCTACACAGCTGACCCAGACAGAACATGCAAGCCCAGTCCCAAGTCATTTGTGATCTTCTATTAGCTCCAGATGTAATCCTGGCCAGTGAGGGTGCTCAGACCAAATTTGCCTTCATTGAATAAGCTAGGTGAAGTCACATTTTCAGGGCTCAGATGTCCTTGCATCAGGAAAATGGTACTGGACTTGCCAGCAAGGAGTGGACCTATTGGTCTTATTTCAGACTTTCAAGCTACTTACAGGCTGCTCAGGTGCCTTATAAGGTGGGATTGGAAGCCTGTCCACATTGGATCTTGCAACATTAGCGAAGTTGAGCCAGGGAACTGAGTGGACCATGCTATCACATAGGGATACGCTAAGTACAGGCAAGGATGATAGACTAGAACTAGGGAAAACAAGAGTGAGTGACAACACTAAAGACAGTTGCAGAGTCCAAAATGTGAAGTTGAATGATGATGTAATCTACAGGGATTACAGAGATAAGGTGAAATAGGCCCACTCTGCTCTTATTCAGGCTTATTTGCAAAGTAAGTATGCCATAGGGGCCAAAAAGGAGTTTGCCATTTTCCTGATGTGAGGCCTATCATCACCACACCTGGCACTTGGAATTCATACAGTAGGACTGGAAAGTCAGGCACAGCTTGGGGATCTATGCTCAAGCTTCAATACCTGGTCTTTGACCAGGAAAATTGTGACATTTGAAGGCAAAATCTTCCCACATAGATAGTCATACTATAATGCAGTGTAATACTTGTACAGGAAGTTCACTGCATAATACACTGGTCCAGCCGCAGTAATTACATTTGGGTTAAGTCACATGGCTCATGTGACTTTGTTTTTTCTTTTCAGTTTCATGCAGTGTTATTAGCAAGCCTAATATATCCTAGAGAAAAGAATGTGATAGGTACACAGGGTAACAATGAACTAGGAGGAAAAGAGACAGCACATGACAACAAAGTGAGAGACCCACAGAGTCTGAAGTTGGATGTCCAAGCGACATTGTGATCCACCAGGATTACAATCTATCTGCATACACAACCATACTTACACAGGTAGTTTCATTGTGAAGCCCACTCAACCCCACAAATGCAGCTCAGCTTCACTAGCATCCCAGTACCGCCCACCCTTAACAGGATATTGCAACAGGATCCTACCAATAGAATCCATATCCTCTGAAGACAAGTCTACATTTGCAGCAGCCACATTCTCCAGTGTACGATCTTTGTGGCTAGGTACCTTCATGAGTCTCGAACCCCCACAAAGATATCAGGATACTCACGAGGACCCAGGGATAGGGAGCATATGGGGGCCTAGGTGAGCTACCCAGGCAATGCACAGCTGGGCTGGGGTAATGCCCTTCTTGTCAGCCAGGGCTTTCACAGCTTTCACTATCATGATATTGTGCTCAAAATTCTGCAAGAAATGACATCATTGATATTACTCAAGGCCTTGATGAAGTGTAACATACCTCTGGTTTAAATCTTGCAAAATTCCTTCTTCTATCATCAGCTAAAGTGCATTCAGTACCCAGTGAGATCCTAGTGTTGGAAGGGCATACCGGGGAGATCATCAATGCTTTGCCACCGGCCTGCCAGGAAACCCCTCCCAAGCGGCCTATCCCAGGGGCTCGGTACATCATGAATAGAGAGCAGCCCGTCACTCACGAGTACGCCGCAACAGATATGTTGAGTTCTTGCGCCGTTGCAATGACTGAAGTGCAGGTAAGCAAAGATGAGTAGTTACCAACAAGGCAGAGTACCTTTCTTGGTTTCGTCCTCATAAGACCAGGGACTGGCTTCAATTTCGACGGCCGTAATCGGATGAACCTAGGCGGGATGGACAAATGTCGCGGTAGAGGTCGAAGACTACGACGCACCGAGTTCCCTCGCCTGAGAGTATCTGCACGACATTCGGACATGCCGATGTGGTCGAACTTGCCTTCGTCAATCAGACCTTTCATGGTCTTGATCGCATCTTCGATCGGCACTCGATGATCGACGCGCGCCGACTGGAAGAGGTCGACACGCTTGGTCCCACGCAGGGCTGCATTGATGTTGTCGATGCTGCGTCGCAGATTCTCGGGGCTACGGGAGTTATCAGCGGATGAAAAGATGTGAAGGACAAAAGACTGACGATGCATCAGGCTCGAAGCTCAGATGCTTCAATCCACCCTGATTGATATCGACAGGCGGCGTTAAACGGCCATATGGTATCAGACCGGCATTACGCGCCTTTACCGAGAGAAATGTCTTGTCGGCGTACTCTGGATACTTCTCAAAGAAGCGCGACAGCATCTCCAAGTTGGCGGTCGAGAGGTTGGGTCCATAGAATTCGCCTGCTGGAGCCTGTCAGTGCATCGAAGACGACGCGTACATGGGCGACGTGCCGCTATTGATAAACATCTTCGCGCCCGGCGGGAGCGCGTCCACGCCCGCCTTGATTGCTTCGAAGCATTGTTGATCCTGTTCGGGGCTCACGTTGGCCTTCCATCTACGAGGAACAAACAGTCGGGCACCGGGAAAAGTGCGGGGGGGCAGACGAACGTCATCATCATTAAACCATGCTATCCTGTGCTGTGAGCTCGCACCCAATGTGATCAGTTCGATGTTACTGACCCCGATCTTCCCGACAATCACGTTAGAGGCAGACCCGCCCAGTCTCAGGATTTGTGCCATGGCTGCGACAAGGAGGGACACGCGGCGCCTCCCCCATGGCTATTTACGACGAACTTTGTCTGCAAACTAAGTTCGTTCATACCGGCGGGTGGAACCGGAAGCCCGGGAGGCGGCGTCGTGTGTTTACGGCAGACGCGAAGGCGAGTGCGGGGAAGGCCACGTGCGGCCGAATGAGGTCATCGAGTTCCTGGACAGTGGACGCGTTTCCCCAGACTGTTCTGCGTCCCGGCTCCAGCTTTCTCCTATATAAGTCCATCGTCCCCGCCTCCCTATCGCGTCCATCTCTCCTCTTTGTCGCCGTCGTCCACAATGTCCGAGCCCATCAAACGCGACATTCGCAACCCCATCCTCTTCGAGTGCGCCTGGGAGGTCGCCAACAAAGTCGGCGGAATCTACACCGTCATCAAGACGAAGGTCCCCGTCACCGTCTCAGAGTTCGGCGACAGGTATTGCCTTATCGGCCCTCTCAGCTACAAGACGGCACCCATGGAAGTCGAGGCGGAGGAGCCCTCAGACCCCGATCTAGCAGCGTCCCTGGACGCGATGCGCGCTAAGGGTGTCAAATGCTTGTATGGGCGATGGTTGATTGAAGGCGCTCCGCATGTCCTGCTATTTGATACCGGCAGTCAGTACTCACGGTTGGATGAGTGGAAGGGCGACCTCTGGAATCTCGCTGGTATCCCTACCCCTCCAAACGACCACGAGACGAACGAGACAGTAGTTTTCGGGTACCTGGTTGCATGGTTCCTCGGCGAGGTAAGTAGACAGAATCCTTTGTCGTTCTTTTTCCTGCTTTTGACGCGTCTACTATTTCGTTCAGTACGTTGCTCGCCAACTTCATACCGCGGTCATCGCGCACTTCCACGAATGGCAGGCTGGTCTCGCAATCCCATTGTGCCGGAAACGACACATCGACGTGACGACTGTATTCACAACCCACGCCACCCTCCTCGGACGGTATCTGTGTGCTGGCTCCGTGGACTTCTACAACAACCTCCAGTACTTTGATGTCGACCACGAAGCTGGCAAGCGCGGTATCTACCACCGTTATTGCATAGAACGCTCCTCCGCCCACTGTGCCGATGTTTTCACCACCGTCTCTCACATCACCGCCTATGAATCCGAGCATCTGCTCAAACGCAAACCTGACGGCGTCCTGCCGAACGGCCTGAACGTCGTCAAGTTCCAGGCTATGCACGAGTTCCAAAATCTACATCAAACCGCAAAACAAAAGATTCACGACTTCATCCGCGGACATTTCTACGGCCACTATGACTTTGACCTCGATAACACGCTCTACGTGCGTGTCTTTGCTATGCTGTCACTTGTGGAAAAGAGACTGACCTCCGAAACAGATGTTCACCGCCGGTCGGTATGAGTATCGAAACAAGGGTGTCGATATGTTTATTGAGTCATTAGCACGTGGGTTCACATCGTTTGTCTACCTGTTGTTTCGTTCGGTAACATAAGTCATGCAGGTCTGAATTATCGCCTGCAAAAGGCGAACTCCAAGATGACGGTTGTCGCATTTATCATCATGCCTGCAGCCACTTCCTCGTATACAATCGAAGCCTTGAAGGGTCAAGCCGTCACAAAGCAACTGCGTGATACTGTCACGGAGATCCAAAATCGTATCGGGATGCGACTATTCGAGCATGCCATGCGGTCCAACGGGTAAGCTTATTGAAAGTTTCTTGGGCCGAAGTCCACTCATATCTTTCCTAGGGAACACGGTATTATGCCCACGCCAGACGACTTCCTTTCAGAAGAAGACAAAGTCCTCCTGAAACGCCGGATCTTTGCACTCAAGCGCAACTCGCTCCCGCCGATTACGACGCACAACATGGTCGACGACGCCAATGACCCTATCCTGAACCAGATCCGGCGAGTGCAGCTGTTCAATCACTCGCACGACCGCGTGAAGATCATCTTCCACCCCGATTTTCTGAATTCGAATAACCCCATTCTGGGTCTCGACTATGAGGAGTTCGTCCGTGGTTGCCATTTGGGCGTGTTCCCGAGTTATTATGAGCCATGGGGATACACTCCTGCGGAATGTACAGTCGTAAGTGCACTTGTCTTGATACCAAAGCTAGTTACTTCGACACTGAGAGATATTCAGATGGGTATACCCTCGATCACGACCAACCTCTCTGGTTTCGGCTGCTTCATGCAAGACCTGATCGAACGTCCCGAAGACGAGGGCTGCTACATCATCGACAGGCGCATGCAGTCCGTCGAGGACTCCGTCAACTCGCTTACGACGTGCATGTTCCAGTTCTGCAACAAGACGAAGCGCCAGCGGATCAACCAGCGGAACCGCGTTGAGCGCCTGAGCCCGCTGCTCGACTGGAAGAACCTCGGCATGGAGTACTCTAAGGCGCGCCAGCTTGCGCTGCGCCGCGCGTACCCCGACGCGTTCTACGGCAACGACGAGGAGGAGTTCGACTTCGGTGCGGGCATTGACAGGATGATGCCGTCGGTGCCGCCGAGCCCGCGGTTCAGGATGTCGGGTATGGCGACACCTGGTGACATTGGGACGTTGACCGAGGAGGTACATGGTGGATTCTTCGTCGTGTATGACCTACTCACCTGTGCGTTTCCAGATGGAGCGATTGAAGACTAGTGATTACCGAGGGTTCAACTGGCCTTCTCAACAAGAAGACGAGGAGGAAGGTTATCCTTTGTATGTGGATGTTTGCCAATCTGTTTCAATTGTTCATTGACTGACTCCCTTCCAGCCCTCTCGTTATGAAGGTCAGATCTCGCGCCAGCTCTGTTGTGTCGGGCGCAAGCACTCCCGGCGGAGGTACTTTCAGGAGTCTCACGGAGAATGACCTGCGCAAGGCGGATGCGGCTTTGAGCAACGTTGGAGATGCTCCTGTTAACGGCGTGAACGGGAAATAGTGAAATTGCTGACATGGACGAGGAACAGCGATCGCGAGGGCGAGGAGGTCGAACGGTTGAGGTGATTGCTTGGAAGATATCCTACATACCTTGGCAACCTGCAACATACCGCGGCTATGATCAACATGTATGATTTGAGTACTTGAATCTACAAATGAGTATTCATACCATAAGTTCCGGGCCCGATCCTATTGGATGTGCTGACCAGAAGTGTCAATATGGACCTACAACGCGAGGCATTGTGCTCGACATCGATGGTTCTCCACCGAAGGACATGCTCAAACGGCACCAAGCATTTTATGGTGCGCCCATCCAGTTACGTCCGCCCAAGAGCAGACTCAAGGGCATCATCTATTATGGCTGTCCTGGAGTTCTATGCCCCTACAGTAGGGTCTCCGATACTTACCGACTGAGCATCTGTCTTCGGTCTAGAAGGTGAGTGCTGAGCTATATATCGTTGAAGTAACAGGTAGTTCGGTCGCTCACGCTTGTATCCGAGTCGGCTGCGGCAGGCAAGATGAAGTCTACTCACGTCCGAATGGAAGATCGAACAGGGAAGTAGTAGCAGTGCCGCTGTCACTGTTTGTCGAGTGTGACACCTGGACGAACAGGCCGTCGCCAAATACATAATTCAAGACGGTGATGTGAGTACCTAGGAAAATCTAGGGGGGGAGACGGATGCGCACCTGCGTGCTCCTTTGGCGGCTAGCTGTGCATGTGGAAGACGTCCGTGATGGCGATGGGGTAGGTGCCGTTGCGGACGCTGGGGGGACGGGAGTACTTCTATCTCTGTGTGAGTGTGCGGGAGCTAGAATTGTAAACGTACGTCTGTGATGCAGACAGACAGACGGGTTCCGCTATGGCGTGTTGGTATATGCGCCGAAATCGCTCATAAATGCTTATGGGACTGGCACGAACGGGGTGAACACGATTCGACTCGCGGGCGTGATATCTTGCGCACTCGGGCTACTATCGAGCGAAGGATGGAAGCGGGGCGCATGCCCTGTGATACAACGATGCATTTAATATTTCAGGCGCGTCACAGCCGAACCAAAATTACTGCGGAATACAACTATCATCCGCTACAGATTGGTGTCAGGCGTAGGCCGTCGCGAGAATTTAATTACATCCACTTACATCCAGATTGCACTGTGAAGAACGAGCTCTGCGCAATGCCTCCGTCGGAATCGGTCACTTCCAGCGACAGTTCCACATCTGAGCATGTCTTATGAAATTTGGCAGAGTCGAGATGGCAATAAAACTACCCACCCACTGATTCCGTTACAGTCCAAACGTACGAAGTCCCGCTCACTCCCTCATAATCGATGGGAATTGGGTGGGCGCCCGCTCGAATGCTGCGGATAACTGTCACTCAGCATATGCTACAATAGCTTGTCTCGAAAGCACATACGTCTAGTCGCCGTTCAACATCGCAAGTCAACTACGGTGAAGGGACAGCAAATGAAGATGACCATGACGAACCAGCTGGTAGGACGCTGACAGTGCCGTCAGAAAAACGCCAAAAAAATACGAAAATATCCCTACTCACCGACTCCTCCGGACCAGCTAATGTTGAATGGCTCGCACTCGACGGCATCTGCACTTCAAACAGAAGACACACAGTACCCCAGCTGAGTGCACTCCGGCATAGTCAAGTTACGGTGTATTTACAATGAGAGGGTCGCCTACAACACCAGCGACGAAGGCAGCTACAGCTATGAGGGACAAGAAGGGAGACACTATGATCGTAGGACGTCCGAGAGGTGATGCATAAAGGCCACAGGTAAGCCCCTCTAGAGGCGATCTTTCAGAGAACCGAATGACAGCACCGAACACTTGGGAGGCAATTGTATAGAATCAGTGATCCTGGGCGCTCCCCCTCCCCCTCCATTCGCGCACGAGAGCAAGCCGTGACGAAAGGCCCGTAGCCTGCTGAGACTATTCGTGGTTCTTACCACCGAGCCGGCGTGCACGTCCACTATGGATAGTGGCTTGATTATATCGAGAGGCACTCATCTGCTGATAGTCCGCGTAACGCGACGTATAATTAACGGCTGTTGGAGCGGAAGATGCTCACATGGTGACCACATTGAATGCAAATGCTAGAGAGCAGATCATTGTTGGCAACACACATCACTCCAGGTGTCATCGCGCTGAGGGGTCGTGAGCTCACATGTATCATTAGAGTCAAAAAGAAGCATCGGCGCATATCCTGCTAAACCAGCGATTAAACGCTAAGCTAAGGGATATCACATCTGCACTGAGTTACTGCGGAATGCAGCTATCATCCGCTGCAGACTCATGTCAACCCAGGCCGTCACGGCAGTCTAGTATACACGTCCCACTCACATCCAGCCTGCACTGTAAAGAAAGAGCTTTGAGCAACGCTCCCGGCAGAATCGGTTACTTCCAGCGAGAGTTCGTCTCCTGCATGTGCATCGTAAGTCGACGTTTTGGTGTAATGCATTCACAGGAGTGCCCACCTGCTGGCTCTGTTACGGTCCAAACAAAAGAAGTGCCGCTAACGTTCTCCGTGTCGATGGGAACAGGATGGCTGCCCGCTCTGATGCTGAGGGCAGATGTCTCTCGGCATACGACCAAAGAATCCAGCATTTAGAGACCATACCTCTATTTTGGTGTTACCCAATGCGATGAGCCTACAGGTCAGTCATTGCAGAGGGCGAAGGGACAAACAGACCAATCGGTAGGGAGCTAGTACTGCCTTTTAAAAGTTGGGAATGTATAGGATGGGTAGGTGGACTGACCGACTCCTCCGGACCAGGTGATGACCAACGCCTCGCATTCGACTGCATCGGAGCTAAACAGGAAACGCGTCTAATCTGGCTGCTGAGGGCATATACATCCGGGAAATGAACTTACGGAGTGTTGATGACGAAGGAATCACCTCTGACATGAGCAACCAAGCCAGCGATAGCTATCAGAGACACAAAGGAAGACCTCATTGTGGCAAGAAACGTTGTATGGATTGGAGAGCGTCGCCGTCGATGACTATTCTTATATCCATCATGCCGTATCTCAGAGATCGGGCAGAGGCGCCGACCATTAACGTAGCGACGACGTGCTTTTCGCACGGGGCCTCACGCTTGGGTTCGTTCGTGTACAACATTGTTCCGTCATAATGGCGATGTACAGCCATCTATGACACTCCTGCAAGCTGCTGTGCTTCTTCTCGTCCCCAGGATGGCTTGTAATGTCCTATAAAGAATTAGCTCTCAAGCTTGTGCAAGGCGGGAACTAAATTGTACCGAAATCATGTACAAGGCCGATTTATGGGGTGCTTGAGGAGCGAGAACTTCCCCTCAGGACACCGGCTGTACTACGACACTGGTGGTGCCCAACTCATAGACATCCCGAGATGATTCCAGTTTTCGATTGTTCGCTAATTGACATTGTACAATCAGGTAGTTATTGAGGGGATTGTAACTCGGAAAGGCGTAGGGGAGGGACTCATCGGGCAACAGTTGAACAGAGATCCTACTTAATTATGATTACATGTAGGTTGTACGGTGAGCGACTGTGAGAAAGGCTTACATCATCTTCAGTCTGTGTTATAAAATTTCGAGGACGACTCCTCCGTCCATTGTTGTTTGTCACCATCAGGAATGCTCTCGTAGTGGGTGTACCAGGTGAGCGCTGAATGTCTTCTTGGTTGGCTACTTGTGCCTGCTTTTATGTTGTGATGAGTGTTTTTGCTGTGCACCAGACCAGAGCGTCAGCGTTGCGGATAAATTCCCAGACCTTCTTCATAATACGCTATGGAGGTCCTGATCTTTTCTCTCTTGAATTCTTTCGCGTTTTGGAAAAGTCCAGCTACTCATACTATTGAATCACAGCACAGTTATGTAGCGGAGTAGCAGTCAGAGTCCGCGCCGGAGGGAGTCGCTAGTGGTCCTTTAGGTTCATCAGTCAATTTTTGTGGTCCTCCTGGCTGTGTCCTGTCGTACTCCTGGTTCAGTAAATACATCTACAGCCTGCTCGATATTCAACACAACAATCACTTGCATGGTGCCTACTGGCTGTCCAAGCAATCTGACCGATCTAGTCATGGCTGGTCGATGTCTAATAAGGATACATTAGGTTGGTACTTCTGAGTCATAGATACTTTTGCTGTAAGGTATACACTATCGCCCCTTGTTCCCGTCTGCATCTGCTTTTCAGCCCATTACACTTGCCAACAAGGCCATCCGGATCTAATGGCATAGTTGCTAAGCTATATGATTGTACCAAAGCAACAGGTGAGACTCACAAATAAGCCATAGCGCATCTGTCGGAAGTAAACCGCGCGGCGAGAGTCGAAGTCAACCTCGGGATCAATTTCTGCAGTTCGCGAGACATCAGGCAGGGATCACCACATACACGGGTTTGCTACTCACCGTTGACTCTCGGCAAGGGATGCATTACTATCATTTCTTCCTTCGCCCTGGATAGCATTGCGTGGTCGACTCGGTAGGCATTCTTGACAAGGTCCCACTCCGCTTCGCTGGTGAAGCGCTCCTTCTGGATACGCGTGACGTACAACACGTCCGTATCAGCGAGAACCTCTTCCACGGACTCACACTCGAATACCGGAATACCGGCTTTGCGTGCTGCCGAGACAACCCTCGGGGGCATGCGGAGGGAAGGAGGGGATACGAAGTTCAGACGGACGGAATAGAAAGAAAGCAGGGTGACAAGACTGTGGACAGTTCGTCCGTTCTTCAAGTCGCCGAGAAGCGTGATAGTGCGACCGTTCACCGTGCCAAGCTCCGATCGGATAGTGTAAACATCTAGAAGTGCCTACGAAACATTATCAGAGCGGTGTTAAACAGAGAGGGAGTATACATACCTGCGTCGGATGCTCACCAACACCGTCACCGGCATTGATGACAGGAACGGGGGAGAACTTCGCTGCCAGCTGGGAGCTGCCCACATCCGGATGTCTAATCACAATCGCATCCGCATAACAGCCCAAGGTTCGGATCGTATCGGGCAGACTCTCGCCCTTTGTTACGGACGAATGGCTCGTGTTGATTTGTACCACTTCACCGCCGCAGCGTTTCATGGCGGCATCGAAAGAAGAACTCGTGCGTGTCGAAGCCTCGTAGAAGAGGGTGCAGAGAACCCTCCCCTTCAAAATGTCTAGGGTACCACTACGCTCGACCTGGAGCTGCATCTCATGAGCGAGAGCGAACAGATCGTACAAGTCCTGGGCGTTAAACTGCTTAACAGAGAGGATGTGCCGGCGGTGGAAGCTAGGGTGCGACATCACGTGCGTGAATAGGCTCGGTGCAGCAGGAGGGCCATGCAGAGTCGCAGCAGCCGGTGTAACTGCAGAAGGTACGACAGGGGCACCAGGTGGTTGGGATGCAGTCTCAATCGCCTTGGTCGGTGCAGCTGTAGTATCCACCTTCAATACCGCGGTGCCTTGATCGGTTCTGGTGTGACTGATTGTCGCACTCGAGATGTCCCTGCCTGCAGCACTGCTAGAGAGCTTGCCATCTAGGAATACCGTCTGTCCGTGAACGACGACTCGATGCACTTCGCCAGCCACAGAACGGTCTTCAAGAGGAGACCACGCGGATACGTGCTCATTGAAGGATGACTTGCGCCCTATGACGACCTCAACATGCGTGTTGGCTTGTTCTGGGAGGCCAAAGATACGGACAGGATTGTCATGCAGACGTTCCTGGATTTGTGGCAGAGTCAATCGGCCATCATAGACGGCAGTGAGAAGTAAGGGCAGAGTCTCTTCAACACCAGAACGGGCGGACGCCGGTTTCTTGAGCTCCGAGGCCATTTCGTAAGGAAGCGCACTGACTGAGAATGCATCAATGACATTCAAATACTGCCAAAGCGTTTGTTGGTCCTCCTCCGACGGCAAACATGAAGCTCCAGGGTACTGTTCTTTCGCGAAAAACAAGGCGTAAACGGAGACATCACAGGTAACTCGCAAGTTCTTGGCTTTGCTGAGCGAGATTAGGAGGATGTCTTCCTTGCTCCTCACGTCCGTGACGTGAATACTCCGGCCATTCAAGCTAGCGAGCAGCAGGACCGAAGCCAGGTCAGAGCCTTTGGCGTCTGTGACGATCAATTTATCCACGGGCCAGGAAGCGAAGTGGGAGGCCATCACAGACACCTGAGTCTCTACGCTATCCGTATGTAGAGGAACGAACAGTGACTTCACGTCCGCCTGTATTTCTTCGTCCAATGTCTTAACATTCTCTGCCGAGGCCGCAATACTTAAGGCATAGTTGCAGAACGCAGAATCCTTCACATTGGCGCGAGCTTGCTCGAGGGTGTTAGGATCGGCTATCTTATTGTTGCTACCGATAGGGACGACAACGGCAGTGGTGAAACCGGCGCTGATGCAAGCCTTCGTAGCCTCGATCAAGTCGGTACTGCCTTTGACGGCCAGCCCTGGAACAAAACTAGCAACATTGATGAGGCCCGGGAATGTATGTGTCCTGTGGGAGGTCTGGAAGTCGACGGGAGATACGTCCAGGCTTAACTTGCGGACCAACGCTTCAGCCAAGAGCTTGGCGCACTTGACGTTAGTTATCAGAGGGACGGCAAAGTCGATGGCCATGCGTCGAGTACGATATCCCTTACTCGTGTAGCTCGCGGGCCGTCGGTAGTGGTTCTTCGAAGGCAAGTTTATGTACATGTCGATGAGATTATTAGCCAAATGTTGAGCCAGGTCGTACTCCGATTTCGCTTTATCTCCGCCGTTGTCGCCGAGGGCTTCCAGATACTAATCGATATATTAGTACATGGGATGTATGGCAAAACGCAGCTCCTCACCTTGCAAGGGACGTTGTGCTCTGAGAAGAAGTCAGCAGTTCCTGCCGTCGCAAAGATGTTGTAGCCAGCAGCATGCAATTTCTGAACGACTGGGAGAAGTTCCAGTTTCTCCTTATAGCCGCCAATAGAAAACAGGATATTTTTCTTCGGAGGCACTATGCCCGTTGAAATAAGAGCCTTCAGGTACGCTTCGTATTTGTCTCTGCCAAAGCAAGCGACTTCGCCAGTCGAAGCCATCTCTACACCCAAGATAGGGTCTGCACCTGAGAGACGGCTGAAGCTGAACTGCGGTACCTTAACACCCACGAAGTCCGCGGGCAAACCTGGGTCTGGGTATACTTCCACAGGGATGCCCATCATGACTTTAGTAGCCATCTCGATAGCGTCTATCCCAGTGACCTTGGATACGAATGGGAATGAACGAGCAGCACGAAGGTTGCACTCGATGACCTTGATTTCATTGTCCTTGGCGATGAACTGGATATTGAAAGGACCCGTGACGTTCAGTGCGTTGCCAATCTTGGCGGTAGCCTCCTCGATCTGACGGACTGTCAGAGGGTCCAAGTCCTGAGGCGGGTGGATAAGTGTCGCGTCTCCGGAATGTACACCGGCGTTCTCCACATGCTCGGAGATGTAGTGCATGACCATGGTGCCATCCTTGGCCACAGCGTCCATCTCGATCTCTTTTGCACCTTCGATGTATTTGGTGATGACAACGGGATGCTCTCTGGACACCGCTGTAGCTTGAGTCAAGTAGGTCTGCAAATCGTTCGACGTGAACGCTACGTTCATGGCAGCGCCCGACAACACGTAGGAAGGCCTGACTAAGACGGGATAGCCCACAGCCTCGCAGAACGAGTGCGCCTCCTCCACAGTCGTGAGCTCCTTCCACGAAGGTTGGTCCACACCGATCTCGTCCAGGAGACGGGAGAATTTGTACCTGTTCTCGGCCGTATCAATCATCTCCGGGGACGTTCCATAGATCTTGACATTCTGGCGGTATAGTGGGAGCGCGATGTTGTTTGGCGTCTGTCCGCCCATCGATAGGATAACGCCCCGCGATCGTTCAGCATCGTAGATATCGAGGACTGTCTCCAGACTGATATTTTCGAAGTACAGACGATCGGCTTCGTCATAATCAGTACTGACGGTCTCTGGGTTATAGTTGACCATGACGGTGGGAAGTCCCTGGTCGCGGAGTGTCCTGATAGCACGCACAGCACACCAGTCGAACTCCACGGACGAGCCAATCCTATACACGCCGGAACCGAGGACCATTACGCCTCTGTCTTTGAACGTGATATCGTGTTCCACAGCATTGTACGTGGTGTAGAGGTAGTTGGTAAACGCCGGAAATTCAGCGGCCACAGTATCGATCTGCTTGACAAACGGGGCAATGCCGAATTCCTGGCGCAGCCTGCGAACGGCGAGCTCGTTGGACCCAACGCAGGTCGCGACCTGGCGGTCCGAGAAACCAAGCTGTTTAGCTTGTCGAAGAATTTCAGGGGACACGGCTCCAATCGTAGAGGACCTAACGGACAAGATTGTCAAACCGTGAAGAAAAACACGGGAGGCCAAATACGAACGACAAGCGTTGCTCCATTTGATAGATGTACTGCAACTTCGTGAGGAACCACCTGTCAATATTGGTCATCTGCCATATCTTATCAACACTGTATCCGCGGTGGAACGCAGTTGAGATAGCGAAGATCCGTTTGTCTGTCGGATTGAGGAGCTCCTCATCGACGTCTTCGACATAGTCGTTCTGCAAAGTATTGAGTCAGACTAGCCGGTCTAAGATAGAGATGATACGCGACCAACCTTGGCAAACCCAAGGAACTGATCATCGATCGCACGAATAGCCTTCTGAATCGTTTCCTCGAAGGTCCTGCCGATGCTCATCACCTCGCCCACGCTCTTCATGCTGCTGCTCAGCAGCCGACTGACACGGCTAAACTTTTTCAGGTCCCAGCGCGGGATCTTGACCACGACGTAGTCTAAGCTCGGCTCGAAACATGCGGTGGTAACCTTTGTGACCGAGTTCTTGATCTCGTTGAGAGGGATTCCAAGACCGAGCTTCGCAGCGATGAAGGCCAGTGGGTAGCCAGTCGCTTTTGATGCGAGGGCGGAGGAACGGGACAGACGAGCGTTCACCTATTAAATCATAGCCTAAGTCAGCGATGATCATGCTCAAGGTGCAGATATATCCTACCTCAATAATGCAATACTCCTTCGAGTCGGGATTCAAGGCGTACTGGATGTTACACTCCCCAACCACACCAAGGTGGCGGATAACATTGATAGCCGTCGTCCTCAGCATATTGAAGTCGGCATCTGACAGCGTCTGCGACGGAGCCACGACGATCGAATCACCAGTATGGATCCCCAGCGGGTCAAAGTTCTCCATATTGCACACAGTGATGCAATTATCCCTGCAATCCCTCACAACCTCATACTCGATCTCCTTCCACCCCTTCATGCTCTTCTCGACAAGCACCTGGGGGCTCGTCGCAAAGGCCTTCGCACACAGCGCGCGGAGCTGTGCCTCGTTCTGCGCAAACCCGCTGCCCAGCCCGCCCAGCGCGTATGCCGCACGTACAATGACTGGAAACCCGATCTCTCCGGCGGCTGCGACCGCCTCGTCCGACGTCGTCGCCGTGCGGCTCATCGCGCATTTCTCCCCGATCTCCTCCATCGCCTGCGCGAACAACTGCCTATCCTCGGTCGTAATCACCGTCTCGATGGGTGTGCCCAGCACCTTCACGCCCAGCCCCTCAAACTCGTCTTTCAGCTTGATCCCGACGTTCAGCGCTGTCTGCCCACCGAACGTGCAGTAGATCCCGTCGGGCTTCTCGTACTGGATGATCTTGCGCACGAACTCGGGCGTGACGGGCAGGAAGTACACCTTGTCCGCGAGCCCCTTGCTCGTCGCGATCGTGGCGATGTTCGGGTTCACCATCACCGTGTAGATGCCCTCCTCGCGCAGCGCCTTGATTGCCTGCGACCCAGAGTAGTCGAACTCGCCCGCCTGCCCGATCGACAGCCCGCCCGAGCCGAGGATCAGCACCTTCTTCACGTTCGCGCGCGGCACGCGCGCCTCGTTCTCCGCCTTGTTGCCTCCGGGCATGCGGATGGGCACGAGCACGCTCGTTTTCGCGCAGTCGAGCACGTTCTGGATGAACACGTCGAACAGGAACTCGGTGTCCCGCGGCCCGGGCGTGCTCTCCGGGTGGAACTGCACGGAGAAGAACGGCTTGTCGACGCAGTAGATGCCCTCGTTGCTCCCGTCGTTTGCGTTCCGGAACAGCTCCTGCCAGCCCGCGGGCAGCGTCGCGGTGTCGACCTGGTACCCGTGGTTCTGGCTCGTGATGTAGCACCGCCCGCTGAGCGCGTCCGTGCACGGGATGTTGTGCCCGCGGTTGCCGTACTTCATCTTCGACGTCTTCGCCCCCGCTGCGAGCGCGAGGAGCTGGTGTCCCAAGCAGATACCGAATATCGGCCGCTTGGCGTCCTCCAGGGCCCTCGACAGCCGGTTGATCGTCGCCTGCACAGTTGTGGGGTCGCCGGGCCCGTTCGAGATGAACAGGCCGTCGAAGGGCTCTTCGGACGCGTCCAGGAAGTCGTAGTCCCACGGAACGACCTTTAGTTCTACTCCCCGGTGGGTGAAACAGCGGATCTGGTTGTATTTCATGCCGACGTCGAGCGCCAGCACACGGAGAGTGCGGCCGGAGGGGTGCAGCAGTGGCTCAACAGTTGGCTTGTACAGACGCGGTGACTTGATGGACACTACGGCGACCAGATTCTCCTGGTTCGGATCCTTGAATGGGACATCGATGTAGTCCTCGCGCCAGCCCGCGGTGCCCGGTGGAGACGGTGCACGCGACGCAGGCTGAGAATGAGCAATTAGCGACTTTGGCCTCGCACAGCGAGCTTCGGGCTTCCTGGCAAGAATTTTGCCAAGCAAGCTACCCTTTTCACGGATTTTCTTGGTGAGCATCCGGGTGTCCACGCCATAGATGGCGGGGATGTCATTTTCCTTCAGCCATTGGCCTAAAGACGACGAAGCCAGATAGTGAGAGTAATCCTGCGAGTAATACCCAACGACGAGAGCAGCGACGTGGATCCGCGAGGACTCAAAGTCCGGCGGGAGGATGTCGGGGTTGGGGTTGGAGGTGTCAGGGCGAGCTGGCACGCCGTAGTTTCCAATGAGGGGATACGTCAAGATGAGAATCTGCCCTTCGTAGGAGGGGTCGGTGATGGATTCCGTGTAACCGACCATACCTGCAGCACGAGCATCAGTTTATACGGACATGTAATCTACGAGATTGATGAGTTCCAAGATACTGTTGATCACTGACCTGTCTGAAAGACGCATTCTCCGGCGACGCTTTTGCCTTCCTTTCCAAAGCTGAAGCCTCGGAGAACGGTGCCATCTGCGAGCTCCAGGACGGCGTCTACGGGTGTCGTATTGGCGCCATCGACCTGGGGAGGCACCGTGACCGGCGCAGATGGGTAGCCGTTTGGCATACCCGACGCCGCTCGCGCTAGTACAGGCCTAGTCGGCGGGAGGTTAGCTGAAGACGGGGGGTTCGAGAGTGCCATCGTCGGTCTACGAGCTAGAAAACTCTTTTTATTGCAGTGTCCTTGAGTACTTTTCCTCTCCACCCAGTGCGTATCGGCGGTGCAGTAAATGGCGGGGGACGGGGGAGCACTGGGGGTACGGGCTGGGTGGAGAGGAAGAGGAACGCGTTCTCAAAAAACTCCTCTTTAACGGCTCAGATCGCGCTCGCGTGGCTGCAATTCTGCCATTGCCCAGTTTGGGTATGCCCCGCTTTCGGCGTCCCCCCCGAGCCGCCGGGACTGATCGATCACGTACCCAAAACTCCCAAAAACCAGGGGAACTTCACCTTGCGCTGTGCGTCTCGCAAGTGCTTCACAGGAGCTATGCCAGACAAGTCGATGTGGCTTTTTTCCCTGAGGAGTTTATAGAATGCGGGACTTGGTATGGTCTGGCTGAATCACGGAGTTACCTCCGACAACAGGGGGGGGGGGATAGAAGATGCCCTGCATATTTATGACTTTAACCATTTCGCTATCTGGTGGCTGGGAGAAAAGAAGAAACATTTATTTTATGCTAGACAGAGCCTTCACTATGAAAAACTGTCCAGAACCATTGAATACCGGTCGAGTTGGAGGCTCGACAAATCCAAGTTAGGCAGTCATATGCCTATATCGGGCAAGGCGTTCCCGGAAAGATGATTCTGTTCATCCCGGGTTTCATGTTTATCCCATCTGACATACGCCCCAACCGTTGCCGGGTATTCCGGTCAAGATGTCTGCACTACTGGTCGACGGTTCTGTGCGAGTATCCCCCGACATTATTGAGCGCAGGCTGATCAGCCCTCCGACTTTCTTGCTTCCGCCGACGGAAAGGGGTACGACCGACTCCCGAGTGGTCATCGGCGTGGTGATCTTCCTCACAAGAAGACATCCCAGCAAAGGTGCTGATCGTCACGCGCTCCGCGACTGGCTTGAAAATGTCAAAAATGATGCATATGGGCGATTTTAAGCACTTTGTGTATGCGGTGCCTGCAGGTGGCGACGGTGATGCGACCGAGAGAGTTACTATCCAGCTGAACTTTGCTGTTTCGGTCAAGGAAGGCCCTGTTGTCCTCTGCCAAGAAGAGCACCAGGACTATGCCTGGGTCGCTTTCGACGACCTCGCGAAGTACGAGCTGACTGCGGGCATGGACATGGTCGTCAAAGATGCTCTTCAATGGGCTGAAGCGCATGCGCCACGTCAGGTGCCAGTGTCCCACTGACGGCCGTACGTCCTTCGCCGGCAACGGCTTCGTCTGCCTTACTTCGCACGCAGCTAATCCTCAGTCTGCGATTTAGGTTCAATGACGGCCGAGATTTTACAGATTTAACCATCTTTCAGAGCGTCGCTGAACGATGCATCAAATGAATGCGTATACGGGCATGAGTTGTCATTGCTGCCGGGCCACAGTATCTATTGTGCCGATAGCAATGTCACCCTACGCCGATACACGTGCGGACGATACATGTGCGTAGAGACTCATGGTACCTCAGCTCACGCTCATCCTCTGTCGGACACCCTGACTGCCCTCATACCTCATTGTCTCCCAGGATGTGGACCGGACATACATCTTCCACTGGGCTCGATTCTTTGGAATCCATATAATGGGGATGCGCATATATGGCAGAGAAGCACTCACATCCTATTCCCAATCATCTCTGAATGCCATCCTCAGTTCCGCAATGCTTCCCTGATTTTCGCAGCCCTGATGTGTGGGGGCATCTGAATATCACCAGGTCCGGAGGAGACAGTAAGTTCACGAGCTGTGATCCTTGCTATGTATCTCACCGAGAGGTAGTCTAGTCGACGTCTTGTAGCATGGAATCCGTTGATTACGCCGCGGCATTGCCTACTGGTAGGAGGCATTCTACCGCTGGAAGTGTCCGACTATGCCAAACACTCACCTGCTCCGGGTCCGACGACGCATCAGCTCTTGGAATAACACGAGGCGCATCTCCGACAAGCAGCCATTTCCGGATCGTCCCTGCTGAATTGTCCAACAGTACGGTGCCTCCGACGCCCTTAGCATGTCATTCCGTCGTCCTTGCACTCGGAATTGACGTAGTCCAAGTTGAGTTTTTAGGAGGGTCCACAAGGCACGTTTCAAAATATGTCACTTTCTCGGGCTATGTGATGAGGTCCCCTTGCATTGTGGTGGTCGTCGACAGTGGCGTTGGCAGCGGGAGCAAGCGGAAGTTCCGTCAGAGGTCGAGGTCATGAGCACAGTCGATCCTATTCACTTGCCATATATGGGATAAAGCACAGACACGCCGAGAAGGTTATGGGCGCCTGTATCTCGTGTCTTCCGCGTCGATACAGTATTACTGACAGGAGTCGAAAGGTGGCTGCTCAGCGCCGGACTCCAGCATTGATCCTCTCGAGGTGTCGCTTTCATTCTCATGAAGAAGGTTATTACTGGCGCCTTTCACGGGCGACGATTAGCGCAGGAACGTACTTGCTGTCGAGTCTGACCGCTTTGCCTCCAGGTCGATCTCGTGGAATAACGCAGTACCTTTGCAAATTGATTCAACCGCTTAGAATTCCATTCAAGAGTGGAGTACCATGGCTTTGCTTTGGCATTGGAGTGGCCGTCGGTTATGATCGCCTCCAGGCACTATGAAGACGGACTCTGCTGCAACGCCACCACGACACTTCCGTCGTCCCTGAGCTGCGTCTATGCACTGTTCCATTGGCTGGTCTTGCGATATGACGGTATCGCGTCCAACCTTTACCGTCAGCGTCATCGACGTCCACTGACGTCCGTCGTACCTCGTCGCTGATGTAGCGGGCAGGATAAAAGGCCAAGCATCTGGGCGGTCAGGACCACCGCCAACACTTCCATCGACCTCAATCACTAGAAGCGAACGCGTTCTCCTTCTGTATCTCTTAGCCAGCGCAATGTTCTCCCGCAAATTCGCTGTCTTGGCTAGCTCTGTCTACCTCGCTCTGCTCGTGGGTGCTAGCCCAATGCCTCAAGTGGACGTGACTGTCTCCGCGCTCAACCCCGGCCCTACGCCCCTGCTTAACGTCACCGCAGACGTCCCCGGCGTCGCCAACGGCACGGTCATCGTCGGTGGCTTTGGCGGCGCCGACTCGACCACGAACGGAACCGACACGTCCGGCGCCACCAGCGGCACCACCACAGCGACGAGCGCACTCCCCAGCAGCAGCGGCGCGGCCGACAGCACCGACACATCTTCAGCGAGCTCGTCCGCGGTCAGCGGCATTCCGACAGATAGCGCCGCCGACCCGGCAGCGACCTCGACTGCCGGTGCTTCCAGCGGCACGCCTACAGACGGCTCTACTGACCCGTCCGGAGACAACACTGTCGCTGCCGCCGCAGCTGTCGGTGGCACTTTAACCGACAACGGAGACGGCCCAACAGATGGCTCGGGCATGAGGTGAGGGCTTGTTCGATCTTTCCGACCTTCTTCCACTGACCTCTGTTCCCCCAGTTGCTCGCCGGCCGCGACGGTGACTGTTACTGTCACCGCCTCAGGCGCAGATCCCACCATTTTTGCCGCAACCGATGGAGCCCAAGGTCCCAGTGACGGAGGTGACCCCAGCGATGACACCGGTGGTGCGCTGACTGCTGCCGCCACTGTCAACGGCGACAACACTCCTGGAGCGGCAGATGGTACCCCGACCGATGGCGGCAATGCCACCAGCGACCCCACGGACGAGGACGGGAACGTCGTCGCCGCCTCAGCCACCATTGGCGGCGGTGACCCGTCTGCAGACGGTGCGACGACGGATGCAGACCCAGCCGCCTCAGTGTCTGCCTCGAGCGACCCCGCCGCTTCTGCCACTCCTTCCGCGGACGGCGGGGACGGAGACGCTACACCCGCCGGTGGGGATGGCACCGCTGCGACGTCGACCGCTGCAGTGGATCCAGCGCCGACTCCCGCCGGTAGCGGCTCTTCATCCAGCGACCCAGCTGCAGTCTCCCCCACGGACCCAGCTGCCGCCTCGTCCTCTGATCCCGCTGTGGCCTCGTCCAGCGCGGCATCTTCTTCCGCCTTCGCCTCTGCCTCTGTCTCTGCGACCGACACCACCGCGACCTCCTCCGACCCCGGTGCATCCGCCACCCCCGCGCCATCCAACTCTGACTCGGCCAACAACGGCACCCCCACCAGCAGCGCCGCCACCACCACGCCCTCCTCCACGACTGGGCAGTGCTCCACGGGCACACAGCAGTGCTGCGACAACGTGACGACGGCGGACGACCCCGACGCGGCGGCGCTAATCAGCCTCCTAGGCATTACCATCGCAGACCCGACGACGCCGCTCGGCTTGGGGTGCACGGCTTTACCTGCTGTTGGCTGCCAGGACTCGACGCCGGTATGTTGCGAGAACAATAATTACAGTGAGTCGCGACTTCTGGTATTCATACTTATGTGAAAGCTGGCTTTGCGCATTATAGACGGATTGGTGAACATCGGCTGTGTGGCTATCAACGTCTAAACCATTGCGCGCGCGTATTGGACTCCAAGTAGTACAATAAGACTTACTCTGTTTAATACTTTTTATAGCGAGATCGACATCCCACACCCTAAAATACGCATTGTACTTTCCGTACTGTTGTATTGACCTTATGTTGTACTACTCCTCTGACTATAATTATGATAGTATTTCGCGTGAAATTGGACTCCAAGTAGTACAATAAGACTTACTCTGTTTAATACTTTTTATAGCGAGATCGACATCCCACACCCTAAAATACGCATTGTACTTTCCGTACTGTTGTATTGACCTTATGTTGTACTACTCCTCTGACTATAATTATGATAGTATTTCGCGTT